AGATTTTAATCTCATAAGCGGTTACTTGCATAGGATTTCAGACAAGTTAATTTATATACTTGCAAAATCTCGGAAAAATTAATGGCGTATTCTAATATTGTACAAACATGTACATACGTACACCTCTTTCAAACAAATTTTAATAATGACATTCTTTCACATTTTTCAATGAATTTCTGAAAATCAGAATTCGAATAGGGAAAAAATGTATAGAATTTTAAATGTTTACAAATTTTAAATGATTACAAATTCTTAGTTACGTTAAATGATGATAAAAAAGAATGTATGAATAGATATGCATAACAATCTGCACATGGATGTGATCAGATATGCCTGACAATGAAAATATTTTCTTTAAAATTCTTTCGTTTAAATCAGAAGGTACCTTCTATTACGAACTAGTGAGTATATAATATTTGCATATATGCAGACGCGTACAAAACAAGCGTCCATTTATCTGTGTATGTATGCAGGTGAGATAAATGTTACCGGCAAGCCACTAATTCCCATGGGAAAGACATGAATCCATGTCTTCTCCAATCCGCCAACTATGGGAAAAATAGCAGGGTAGACTATTTTATCTATCCTTAGGTGGCAACCAGTCTAAGAGAAAGATAACAAATCGTGGAGACAGCAAGATGAAACAATTTCATTATCTTTCCTAAGAAGTTCTGCCAACTATCAAGAAAGGAAATTATGGAGAGTCATAACCACTTATATCCTGGACAGATATAGTATTAAATAATCTTTATATACTTATACACATATTAGTTTCCTTGTATATGAGTGCAGAACTTCTAAAATCCCAAAAGTTTCACCCACATAAAAGTATTTTGTGTTTTGCTAATGGTCTTTCCTTGGGAGTACTCATCTAAAGGAAGACTTCCTTTTTTTTTTCTTTCTTAATTTTTAGATATTTTCAATACAGATTTTTGAATATAGCATTGCATTAACAAATTACACAATAAAAATTCTTAAATTAACTAAAACTTAATTGTAAAAAGGGGACGAGACGTAAATTTCTTTCTGTTTAAATTTCTCTTTGGTCTTATCGCAATTAAATGTTTAGTAGAGAAAACAGATAAGCAAAACACGAGTCATCGAAAAATTCAGTGTATTTAAAGCGATGATATAAAATAGCCAACAGCTGTTCTGTAAAGCAGATAACTAATATCGCTTGAAGACAAACCGCTAAACGCTATAAAATCCATAAGCGAAAACCAATGCATGTACGCGCAGACGTGTCCTGTGACGTCAGCCTATTTGGAGTTGCGATGTGCCAGTTGATTAAGTGGTCTTATTAAGTGATCAAGTGAAACTTTACTGACAGTCAGCAGCGGTATAATAATATAATAACAATAGCATCATAGCCGGATGTCGAGAGTGTTTTTTTTTTAATTTGAAGGATGAAATACTCACATGTAGATACTTGGTAAAACTTAATCCAAGACTGTCTAAGACAGTGCTTCTCAACCTTTATTACTTCAGGGCACAATTATAGAATAACTAAAACTCTGGGGCGCACTTTAAATTTTAATAATGAAAAAATAGTCATGAAATTTAAAAATATGAAATTTGGGTTTAGCATTCTCAAAAAAGATTGGCTGTACAGTTCACATTTAAAGGGATTTATGAGGAATCTGCTATTTTTGGTGAGGTATATACTGATAAGAATTTAAATCTCTTCAGGAAGGCAAAAGGGAAAGAATTATCACCTCCTTTTTAAAAGTTAAAGCATTTCGTATCCAGTTTAAAATATCAAATGCAAAAAACACAACAAAAAAACTTAGTCATGTACTTCGTTTCTTTTAACCCTTTAAAAATAAAGATTTTTTTAAATATAAAAATAATTTATAAATTACGTCCTGTTACCTTAGGACGCACCTGGTTGCCTTTAAGGGCGCATTAATGCGTCCAGACGCACCGGTTGAGAAACGCTGGTCTAAGCAGACTCGATTACCTGTATTTCTAACTGTGCCCTACCTGCAATGTTATGCACTGCTTTTAACAAAACCTGTCACCACATTTGGCTGTGATGAATGTTTCTGGTATATCCTTATAAGTCTGGGTGTCATCGGGTATATTCGGCTTCGCATATTTGTACCCCAGCCTCACTTTGTTGACGTGCTGGTCTTCACTCAATAATGATAATCTTTTAGATCTATCTATAGATATAATACGTCATGTGTATTTGTATTTTTGTCGGTAAGTTTTTGCTGTATCAGAATCATCTGCCTTGCACTAGCGACGCTAGATGGCACTATCTTTGTTTTGACAATGGCGAACGGTTGGAAGACATTTACGAAGCCGGCTTTTGGACTGACTGATTTCATGAAAATGAAGAGTGGAATAAAAATATTAGTAATAATAAGAAGAGAAAATATATTTAAATCTCCATATGTTGATATTTTCTAATAACAGTAAGAACTTAGGAAATAACATTTTCGTACACGCTGCTATATTTTTTTAACAGCATGACTAAATTTAGTGTTAATATGTTTCTACTGAACATAAAGTTGAGGTTGGTTTTCTATTGTCATTAAGTAAATGATTCCCCAGAATACTTCTTTTTCTACGTGCCGTGTCCCTTCAGGACGCTGGCGATCATGACCCTCTACAACAGCCTGATATTTGTAGCTTTTATTAAACTTTCTCTTTTTGCCATCTGGCCAATAACATGCTCCACCATCCATTCACTCAAGCTCGCCATGTAGGCTGAGCGTCGCTTTCCTCTGTCTCTTTTACCTTCAATCTATCACGTGATTACCAAATTTTCCAAGCTCCCCACCCCACCGCGCTTCTTCACTATGTATCCCAGAAGTATCAACTCTCTCTTTCTGATGTTAAGTATTTTTGTTAGCATTGTCTGTAGAACTTCGTCGTTGCTCACATTTTCGATCCTCACTATCTTTCTGTAGAACCACATTTCTATTGCTTCAAGCCTCTTTTTCATCTGTGAGGAGATTGGCCAGCATTCATAGGAAGGCTGATACTAAATGACAGTTTAGTGCACATTTTTTTGTTTCTAACTATAGTTTTCTTTTTCTTAATACTTTGCTCAGTTTTTAAAAAGTATCTTTCACTATCACAATGTGCCTTCAGATTTCCATGTTGCACTTTCCGTCCTCTGTTAATACGTTTAAGTATCTAACTTGTTGCACCAGTATAATTACGGTATCTCCAATCTGTATATTGGTCTGTTCCTTTTACTAACACCATATTAATTATTGAAAAAAATATTTAAAACATTACCGACTAAAAGTCTTCTAACAGAATGTATTCAAGCAAATGTCAATTTTTATAAGACGTGGTTATTTAATCTCGTGAATAAACAATCACACAATTTTGCTTTTATATTTCTCATTCTTAATGAAATGTTGTCATTGAAGTTTTAGTAATTTGAATATTTTAAATTTGCTTCTTTTTTATATGATTAGATGTCTTTTTAAAAATAAATATTTAATTTAGGCAATTTTGTAAAGTCTAGTAAAATATGCCTCTGATCTATTTTCAAATTATATTAAAGCATTATTTTGTTTCGGTGTCTTTTATGAAGACCACAGAATTAAACAAATACAAAACTTTGCTTCATTTTTAAAGTGATACTAAACAATAATTATTCTTACTACGTTACACCCTGTTCTTTTTTGGTGCAATAATCAGAATCATCAGAAAATTATAAAGAACATTGGTCTAAGGAACATTGATCTAAAAAATATTGGTCTAATGGAAACCTGTTAAGGACATTTGTCTAAGGAATTTGGTCTATGTAATACCCGCCTAAAACACTTTAACACTTTATTCATGTACAAAATATTCAATTTTGTTGATATTCACTAAACTAGAGAATAATATTTAAGACGCTTGTAGCAACGTTAATTATTGATGATACGTGTAGTTTATAAGCATTTATTGGCATGTATCGTTTGTCTTTTAATACAATCTCCATTAGACCATAATTCTCTAGACGAATATTTCTTAGACGTATATTATTTAGATGAGTTTTCCTTAGATGAAGGTTCTGGATCCAAAGAAAAATATATCTGAAAAAATGCAATAATAACTGCAATTGTCCTTTTTTTTATAAATAACATTTTTCTGTTCAATATTTGAATTATGAAACACAAAATAAAAAGCGTAATTTCAAATCTGTTTCCTCTGAAAACATTCATGTTAAACACTAATGTCATTGTCCTCTCTTGTGCTTGTCATTTAGAACTCAAATTCGGTCAATTTTAGTTTCACTTTGACATTTTCGTTTGACTCATTTTGTGGTTTAGATTTTCGTTTTTGCTTGTCTAAGCAAAATTGTTTATACTTATATTATTAACCTGTTGTTCTGGTTTTAATTCTTTACGATATACATCTTCATACACTGGTTGTTTCTAATTTTATATTAACAGAATAAAACCAGGTCTTCTCAAATTGACCACTTATGGTGTTTTGTTAAGCGAATATCATACGTTATTGATGGGGCGCCAAGCTAACTTTTCTAAATAGTTACATTTTTTTTACAATTCCCTTTTGTTTTAGCAACTAGCACTAAACATGACATTTGATGTTAAATTATTTTTGAAGAGTAACTGTGCGAATGAATGCACGCTTGTTTGAGAAATAAGCATTGTAACACAATAATTACAAATAAATGCATCCATATTTTATATAAAAGCAATTTTATGGCATCATTTGAATTTATACACATTGAGTTCGCCATAATTGTCAAACAAAGAAAACCTTTTTCCAGTACGGAAAACGATTCAACATCTTGACTCTAACCACTTACGTCAAAACGTTTAATCATGTTTTAGAAGTAGATGGAAATTAATCGAAATCTGAAACTGTGATTCCTTTTCCTTGATGTAACTTCTTCCTCAATGAAAAAAAAAAATGCCTTTTTTTTCTAAATAAATCTTTTATGAATGTGCAGGGAATTTTATTGTGTTGATAATTTTAAAATGTTTCCATATAACTTTTCCGATTTTAAAAAATTTTCATTTTAGGATGCGATTCAGGATTTGGCCATTCCCTTGCAATAAGACTTCACAAATTGGGCTACACAGTATATGCTTGCTGCCTCTTCTCTCAGCAGGAAGGAGCCAAAGGACTCCGGAAAATAGGAGGATCGAGAATGCACGTATTGCAAGTCGATGTTACAAGTGAGGCTCAAATTCGGGAAGCCACAGAATACGTGAAATCGACACTTGGAAACACGGGTAAGTACAATATCTATCTATCTATCTATCTATCTATCTATCTATCTATCTATCTATCTATCTCCGGGTCCCAACTAGAGACCTAAAATTAGAAATGGCATCATGACAATTTCCAATTAGCATTTCTGTAAAATAAAAAGACAATCTAAGATCCTACACATAGATAAAGCCTTTCGTAAGGTGTGAGTTGTACCTGCCAGTACACTGTTTTGTATTTCTTTAAGGTGTGGATTATTCTTATAATATTATCATCATCATTATATTTCGATTTCTGCTAAGGCAGCTAGTGGTGTATTTTTATCGTTATATTTTCATGATTTATTTTTTCTAACTATTATTAATATCACTAGCGTTACATGGACAAAGTTCTTCTTACTGTGTGGGCCGAAAACAATATTTTGTACTTCTCTTAACCTGGGATTTCAGGGATTTTCGGTTTTTGACAATTATGTCATTATATTTGCTTCAATCTCATTATATTAAAGATTATTGTAATCCCATAGAATTGTCATTATTTTTTTTCTCATTATCATTATGATGTTCATACCATTTTATTATCATCATCATTATCAAAGTGTTTGTACATTGTCCATTCTATCGTTATTATTCATTTGACGCAATTAGAGAACATCCTGAAATTAGATGGTTATGGTTATTGATACTTATTATTATTATCATTATTTTGGATTCACACTATTATGCAAGATATTTGCATGAAAGTTCTAGTGAAAATTATTGGTCTTGCGCTGCAAGAATAATCATTATTTTATTTTCAGCCTTTACCCAGATGCTTATAACCATCGTTGAGTATTAATTTTATCAACATCGCGTTTATTAGCCTCGTTCTGGATATTAGCCATGCAAAGGTTTGTCTTGCCATCGTAGTTTCATGTGTTTAAGAGTTTTATCCTTGGCTTTCTTTTTCAAATTTTTTGCTGCAACAGTTGATTCTTGGGTTCTGTTTTGGTTTTCTACAGAATTTACTAAATGTAAATCTTATTTGTATTTACAACCTTCTTACATGATTGAATATTTTTTTCTTTTTGACAAAAAAATCATCCAGTCATTTTTTGTTTGCATGTATGTTAGTATGTAGTAAGTAGCTGAATAAGACCTCTTCCACCTTCTTTAGAGTCCAGTTCGAGATGTTGAGACTATATTGAATCATATATATTGGGATGGCAAGTCTATTAATGGCCATAATTCTGTTCTGAGAATTCAATTCATTTTTTAACATCAGTCGCACCTTTCTATAGTACTCTTTTTGCACTATTTATTTAATTTTTGATGGTGAATTTCTTTACTCCATTTACGCCGAGGTGCATATAAGCTTCATCTTGCTCTAAATCTTTGATTGTTACCCTAGGGTCTAAGCTAATAGTGGAGGTTTGTTGTAGTGATTCTATACAATTATGGCTTTATTATTATTTATCCAAACCGAATTAAAATCTCATCACTTGAAAACTCTTTTGTTTTCAGGAACCAAAGGATCACTGTTATTCTTAGCATACAACTTTTAAGTCATCCATCTAAAATAGCTTATTTTCTTTTAAAAAAAATATCTTAAATGAACAAATTCCGTCCTATTAAGTTCGCTGTTTAATGCTATTAGGCATATACAAAATAGTAAGGAAAACAAAGAGTCACCTTGAAACATTCCTTTGTTGATGTTTATTTCACCAGACTTATAGATTCTATTTATATGATTGAAGTGAAGTGTTGTTTTCCATATCGACATAATTTGTTTGATGAAATTGATGACGACGGGTGATATCTTGTATATAACTAAAGACTTCAAGAACCAGGAATTGGGTACACTATCGAATGTCTTACAAAAACCTATTCAGGCAGTACTGTGATTTTTCTTTGTTTTGAAGCAGTTTTCCAAGATCATCCTATTAATAAGTAATTGATCTTTACACCCAAATTAGCTTCGTTTGGAACCTTTTTGTTCAAGAAGTAGTATGCCATTTTTGTCAGAATAAATGTCAACCGTTTGTAAGTAGTGGGAAGACATGTAATTATCATTTTTTTATTATTTTATTATTCACCATTCTTTCTGTTACAAGGAAGGTAATTCCTTTAGTTACTCATGCCGGAATTTTAGTAGGAACATTTGGTTCTTTGGCTATTTTTTGTGTTCTGTATTTTGCTAATAGAGCCAAAATTTAGAAATTTTATCTATTCCTGGAGATTTTGGATTGTGCCCTTCAATCAACAAGTGTCCTTCTGTGATTCCCATCCATGTTTGTTCTGATTTATTTTTTCATCCAGGAACATCTCAGTAATCCAATCTGCTACTTTGTTAATTAAATTTAGGGCAAGCCCATATTTTGAATGAATTGATATAACCTTTCCCATTTTTGAATGGGAATATCAAATTTTTATTCTTATTTCTATTTTAAAATTTGTTCGCAGATAAAGATCTTGTCTGTAAAATCTTGATCTTTTTTCATAAGAAGCGTCTGATTCTTTTTGAGTATTTCAGTTATTTGATTGATGATTTTATTTATGTTGAATTGTCAGGTCCTTTATTTTCTTCCTGTTTTTGTATTTTCCAGGTCTGCATTTTAGTCCTTACATTTGTTCTTGTTAGTTCATCGTTAATGTCTTAGGTTAATTCACTTCTATGTTGTTCAATTACTTTTTCTATTCTTTTTCTTCATGTTGAGGTTGAATTTTCACTTTGATGTTTAATTTTTTAGAAATTGCTATTTATGATTTTAAACAAGCGGACATCTTATATGTGGTTCTATCTTCATCTAGAATTAATTTGAGTGCTGCATTGCAAAAGTTTAATAATTTTGAGGAAAACTTTGTTGGTTAAAATTTTGGGAAATGTTCTCCTCCTTAAAATTTCAATATTTTGTGTCTGATTATATGCTTGTTACACATTTGGTTTAGATATGGTTTTGTACACTATTTTTGTTTTCTACAAAAAGAATGTGTTTTGGATCGCTTTCCATTCCATGTGTGAAGCGACTAAGATCCCAACATTCTCCAACTCTTCTAAACTTTCAGCATTATCTTAAATGTGATTGGTGTGTATCTCAATTTCTTCATTATGATCACATGGTTTGTATAATTCCTGGAACGTTTCTATTGACTGGTTAAGAATTTCATGTTTCAAGCGTGATAAAGATATTAAATTCAGAGAAACAGTTCTTTTTATTTATTTACATTCAAAATTTGTCAGTCAATAAATATATTAAAATAATTGCTTACATTGATTAGTTTATTTTCGCTATATATATATTATATTTCTAATGATGCTTCAAAACATTAGTCCAACTCTTTCAACGGATCAAAATGTCATGTTTCAACATGCTGATGCGTTTGTAGTTTAGAATTCTTGGATAGAATAAAAGATCATAATGACAGCAGAATGCATTCTGAAGAGACCTTTTTACCTTTTCTTTCTTTAAATGAATCTGTTTTTGTAGATCTAGTTGAGATAATTCGCAGGAAATGTATTACAACAGAAATCAAAGGAAAAATAATAATATTAATAATAGATACATAATAAGGACAACTGGAACAGAAGGGATGCAGAAGAGGTTCATATGTTTGCAAGGATAAATGAAATATGATAAATAAAATGATCCTGGAAAATTGCAGGAACGACGCATGGATATTACATGCAGCGTGGATTGATTAGGAATTAAACCTAAAATTTGATAGTGTTCCACATTCTTGGATATATTAAGACTTTATAAATATATAATATCTATATATGGTATTAAATTTCCTTAATGAAAAGCATGGGAATGTGGAATGGAAAACTATACCTTAGTCACAGAGGGCTCAATGTTAAATCCAACCGTTTAATTGATGAAAAAACAGACAATGTAAAAGGAGCCATTGTTTTAATTTCTGTTTTGTTTATCCTTAATCCCTCTTACACATGAACTGAACAACAGTAGCTATGGTTTACAAAATAAATAAGAAAATATTCAATCATTTTTACATTTTGATCTCAAACTCTTTGCCAAAGACGACAATGAGTTAAAAGGATAAATAAATATTAATAAAATACTTAATGACGAATAGGTATGGACTTCGGATTGGATAAATGTGCAAAATAATTTCAAGAAAGGTAGAATTACAGAAACACCCTTAATAGATTTAGATTTTGTCACAAAGATTAGGAACTGGAGCATAGCTTATAAGAATAGGAATTAGCGAAGGAGATGGCATACAACACCCCCAAATGAAGGAAAAAAAATAAGAAAAAAGAATACTACAGGCGTGTACGTCTGGTACTAAATACTGAGCTGAACTCAAAAAACAGGATATCATCCATAAACACATTGGCTGTCCCTGTGGTGCAATACAGCTTTAATGTCCTTAACTGGACCATAGCTGAAATTAAGCGACTGGATGCCAAAACGAGAAAGCTACTCACTTGCTATCGCATGCATCATCCCAAAGCTGATGTCGACCGTCTGTATGTGCCCAGATCCGAAGGAGGCAGAGGATTAGTTCAACTAGAACTGTCCTACAAAACTACAACAATTGGCCTCCAAAGATATTTGGAAACTACAGAAGACTGGATGATGGTATGCGTCAAGGAACATGAAAGTAGTAAGCGTCTCTACTCCGTAATGAAAGAAGCCAACAAATTCAAAATGGAGTTCCAAATGGGCGTAGAGATGCAACTACAGCACAATACACCGACTGAAACTGCAAAATACCTAAAAAGATAGCTAAGACGAATGCAACAGACCAGTTACAGAAGCGATGGCAAGATAAACCGCTTCATGGCCAATACTCTGCCCGTACCAAACAAGCTGACGTAGACAAAACCCGTACCCATCAGTGGCTACGTAGTGCAGGGTTGAAAGCGGAAACTGAAGGTTTTATCCTTGCTGCGCAGGACCAATGCTTGCTAACTAGGAATTATCAAGCACATATACTAAAATATTGTGTCAGCCCAAAATGCAGATTCTGTGATAAATATCCAGAAACGATTGATCATCTTGTAGCAGGTTGTACGGTGT